CGGGAATGTAAAACAAGAAACATCATTCTGTAAAATATTTCTAACGTCAAATAATTATAGGTAGAAACTTAATGAATATTTAGGGAAAAAATGCAATTGTAATTAGAAGGGGTTTCATTTCTTCGTCAATTCAAAAGAACTATATAAATACACGAAAAACTAGTGGCTCCACCTTCCTTCTGCATATCTGTCTTGTCCCCTGTTTATAAACAATGTAAATCAGCCGAAGTGAATGAAAAATACCTTATTGTTGAATAGAATGTCTATTTTTAGGATTAGCAGACATATCGATCTGAAGAACGACAGATTTATTACACCTCTGCGCTTTCATCCTTTATTAAACCTCTAAATGAAGTTTAAGACTTGAAAATAAGTCCTTAAAATTATGTGTTCGTAGAATCAAAACTGCAGGATCTCTATTTTGGGCTGAAATGGGAAACATGACGTTAAAAAACAAAGCGAATGATGATTAGCTTTATCAAATGAAGGAAAATCTGCAGGAATTTCTTAATTACTTGGTGATCTTAATTGGGCACTTTGCAGAATGCTTTTCAGCACATATCGTGAGACCGAAGAGAAATATAATAACTCCTCCTATTCTCTTACGTTGTAGAGTCATTAGGTTTATTGGAAGCAGAAAAGATGAAAAATATGCAACCGCCTTCGCTGGGAATCGAACCACGGACCTCTGGAATACCGGCCCAGCGTGCTACCGTTACACCACGAAGGCACGCTAGGGAAGTAGGAGAAATACCTTATAACGTTAGGGGCCCTACAAGTGGCCAAATGGTAAAGAACCTTGAAAACAGGTAGTTCGACCTGATTTCAAGCCCAGGCGAGCGGGCTGGCTGCATGGTTAGTTTTCGTGATTTTCCCATGTGTAACCTGAATATCCGACCCGTTTCTCTTAGAAAGGGCTCCACGAAGACGTCCCTCCTTTCCGGCAGACAGCTCTCGCATGTTTTCCTGTATTTTAATAAATTAACCTAATTGTTTGCGTCATTTATTTCATTATTTACTGAAAGTCATTTAATTGCGATTATGTAGATTTTATCCAGAGCCTGTGATATGTAACTTTGAGTTTGATGATGGTAGTAGAGCCCACCAGCGGCCGCCTGGTAAAGTTGCTGGTATAATAGTTCAGTCCGAGGTTTGAATCCCGCGAACGGGCTAGCTTCATGGACGTTTTCGTGGCTTTTCCCATGTGTAACGTGTATACGAGACAGTTTCCCTTAGAAAGTCCTCCACGAAGGCATCCCGCCCTTAGGCATACAACCCTCGAGGCTTTGCCGTAATCATAGAAACCAAACCCAACCTGATGATGGTATAATATGGTTAAAACTGAATAACAATTTAACTAAATTTCCTTTTTATCGAAATTTCCATATTAGAATAATATGAATTATTCCTGCTTGAGCAAGTGCTCTTAATTTTTTTAGCCATTATCTAAAATTAACAATATGATCAACTTAGCAACCCACGGATCTGCTTTGAAAGTAAAAATGGTCAGTAAATATTCATTATTCTTTTTGTTTAATGTAATAAAATTTTGTTTTCCAAAATTAGTGAAATCAATGGCGAAATGAAGTGCTGGTAACATATTGGGAGATAACCAGTGAAACAGCTTTCCAAAATAATTACTTGGAATACTTCAGTGCTATCTTTGGTCTTTAGTATTGCTGAAAGCTCTAGAAAACATGAGCATATTCGTAGTCATGACATGCTCATGGTTTCGTGTGCAACACATACCAAATGGGAAAATGTTTAAAGTTTATAATTAAAAAAATTAACAGTGCAATAATTTTTTTTCTGTGAAACTACGATGACGCACAGGTTAAGAACCCCTCCATTAGATCATCCGTGGGTTCTATTTGGAATTTTGATGTAACTCCGAGCAAGTTTCATCTTCGATTATTCAGTGTTATCACTTTTGTCCATTTTTAGGATATATATTTTCATTAACATTTTCATAGTAGCATATTTGGTCTAAAATGAAGTAAGCAGAAAAACCTTTCTACTTGTCGGCATCTTTTTTATTTTCTCATTCCAATCTTACTTCATACTGCGTTTCACTTGTAGAGCATTTTGCTGCTTTCAGAAAAGATAAATAGCAAATACTGCTCTATGAACGGAAATAAATGTTTTTAAGATAAATCTTAAGAAATTAAGTGGACCTAATTTAAGTAAATTTAAATAATATATAACTGGTAAATTTAGCATTGATTTTCGTGCAAAAGAATGTGTGTGTATTTAATTATGGCAAAGCACACTAGGGCTATCTGCCTAAGAAGAGGGATGCCTTCGTGGAGGACTTTCTAAGGGAAAACGGCTCGTACACACGTTACACATGGGGAAAACCACGAAAACACCCATGCAGCCAGCCCGTTTGCGGGATTTGAACCTCGGACCGAACTACCAGTGTTCAGCGACCTTACCGCTCGGCCGCTGGTGGGCCCGTGCAAAAGAAAGTTGATGTTGTTGTTGGCTTGCCCATATTACATGGAACAAAGTTTGCCAGAGCCTACTCTGAAGAGAGGTTGGACTTCTGTTTATCACCCCCAATTTTGAGGTAGAGCAACCTGAAGGACGATCCAGGATAACTCCCACCAATCCACAAGAGAGGATTTTCGGCTCGCCGCATATTAAGAGTGCCTCCATGCCATACCGACACTATACATTTACAAACATCCATGTCTTCTCTGAGATTCGAACCTGGGCCTTTTGGTATCGTAGTAGGCTCCCCTAACTATTATACCGTCTGGGAGACGAGAAAGTTTGCTTTCAAACTTTAATGTCTTGCTGAGTTAATTTATAGATTAATTAAATAAAAAAAGTTTTTTGCGCTAGCCAATTTGATTTTTTTTTTCAAATATGCCGCATTGTTTATGCATTCGGAAGTAAAATTTTGTTTCGATGCTCATCTCTTAAATTTTTGTTAAATTCATTTAACTAATGTTCAAAAGATTATTTATTTTGAAAGGCATTTTTTCGAAATGTGTAAAAGCATATTATAATAGATGGTTTGTTTATTTTATTACGGTAAGACACGCGAGGGATCCTGCCTAAAGGGAAGGATGCCTTTGCGGGGGACCTAACTAAGTGATGCTGCCCGTACTGACTAAAAAATGTGAAAAAAACTACGAAAACGTCCATGCGGCCAGTCTGTTGACCTGCAGTCGAGTCTAGGTCGAACTATCAGTGTTGAGAGACTTTAGCGCTCATCCACCAGTGGGCCGCTGTAACTGGATGAAGGAATTCTAGAGGTTCCAGCAGCCTCGTTAACTTAAATGATAAAGCATTCGGTGGTTTGGCATTCGGAAATCGAGAACTACGTATTCGTTCCGTAATTAAAGGAAATTCTTCAAAAATAAATAAATAAATAAATAAAGCACTATTACTTCTGTCTGCTGAGTTATAGTAAATATTTTCCACAATGTTACTAATACTTTTAGGTTCTCGAAAAGAAGTTTTAGTCCAAAGGGATTTGAGTCCTCGAAGGACTATTACTTCCGTTTCGGCATTTTGCGTCGAAGTCCTATAAATGTCGGTTCACTTTTCAAACTGTTGCCACAAAATGTTAGAGTCCTGTATTATATTTGAAGAAATTAAATAATGAAAAATCTGCATAAATGTATGTATATTTCTCGCATTGTGATAAAACAACGGTATCTAGAACCATCCAATTTGACGAATTTGATAAATGACGTAATCCTACTGCGAATATGGGCATCTGAAATCAAATATTTGAAATTTGGAATTTGTTTTATTATCGATTTCATATTTTGTAAAACTTTAACGAATTTTTGAGTAACAAAATCAACGATTTAAAAGCGAGCAATGGCAACACTCTACGGGGGGAAGAAAAACCTTTTTATCTCTAGCTCGTCGAACTGTGTATCGGAAATTCTAAAGATATGCTCAATTTTAAAATTATTTTGCGACATTGCTGTTGAACTAAATTTTATGGTTTAAGTGCAAAGAACATGATATTTAATAAATAAAGGTAACACACAAAACGTTAAAAAAAAGCCCCTTTGGACGTAATTGAAAGTCTGAAACATTTCAGATTTTTATTTATTTATTTATATTTTTATTATTATGCTTTTTAAAAGAGCATAGGCATTTTCGATGTTCCTTTTCCTATCATTTGCTATTATCTTATTTCTAACTCTTCTTCATGTTTAATAAACTTAATTGCGCTTACGTCTGAAACTCACACTGGACATAAAGAGTACCAAATTTTTTTTTATTTAAAGTAAGAAATTTAAAAGTTTCTAGGGTAAAACACACAGGAAATTTTAAAAGTAATTATTTTTTAAATGAATAAAGGTAATATGTGATTCAAAATTTACTGATACTGTTCATAATAATACTAAAATTAGGATGAAGAAACATGGCATTTGAATATAATCTTCGCAAAACTTCATATTTATCAATTTCGCTCTTATTTCTTCTACAATTTTTTTGTTCTCATCATTTTATAAAATTGCAGTTCTCTTATTAAATGATGATAATAATGATGAACAGTAAATTTTAACGTACTGAGGCTGCAGTTACCAATATACTAGCAGTCGACAGAAAAACAAATGATGTTACCATCAAATTACCTGGTGAGGTTCAGTTTACGAAGTATAAAAGCCACACATTTAATTCCAATTACTGTATATGCTTACCACCTACGTTTCCTTAAGAATTTCATTCAATGACAGTGTATTGCGTAACACATGAAGTACTAGAACTATATTTATCAAAGCTTATAAAGCAAATCTTTGCTCCTAATTACTTGCTGTCAGAAAGAACATCCATTTCATTATATGTAAAGTAGTATAAGGAAAAAGATATCGCATTAGTATTGTTTTCTGGAATCAATTAGAGAGGAATGTTTAATATTTATGACAGAAAATAAGCATATACTTACTGATAAATAACAATATAGTAATGTATAATTAATGTGAATTGTTAATAATAAATGTAAAATCTGTTTTTTCTTTTTCACTTAGAGACTGAATTGATTGCATTCTATTAGAAAGAATCGTAAGAAAAGGCATCATGTTTGGAAGAAACAAACAAAAAGGCAAATCTAATAAATCAAATAACCAGTGCGTAACCAACTGGAGCATAGCATTTGAAAACGTTTTAAAGGATCCAGCTGGTCTGAAAATATTTACGGTACGTTGCCTTTCATGATTCTCATTTTTTTGTTACTATATGTTGTTTTTCATATGTAATGATTTTCTACATTCAACTAAAATTATTGTGCTAAAATTCCTGATAAAATAATATACATCAAACTACATATTGCTGTGCTTCCTGATAAGCAAAATCTATCTTATTCCATTTAATAAATGCTAATAATTTCCCATTTTAAAACAGTTAGTTCTACAAGGGCAAGTGGACAAAGGTAAATAGAGTAAGTAGTATATCGAAATTCCGTGATAAGTCAGCAGTTTCGTACTAATTAATGAGAAGTAGAATAATCAGGAATTGATCTAAATGTGCACTAATTTTACATTAAATCAATCTAAATGTGCACTCATTTTACATTATTTTATTTATGAAAACAAAAGTAAATTAATCAAACTAAACAGGTCTTAGTTTTTATTAATATTTTGAATGAAATGTCACTTATATCCGCTCAATTCAACTGCCAATGAAAGAAGTTCATTTTAAGAGACACTGTAAGGAATTTTATATTAGTTAACCAGTTATTTGTAATTTCAGCCTTTACTAAAACTTCTCCTTCCGTATTTCTCACCAGAATGCAAATAAGTAGCCAGTATTTAAGCTGACGGTTTGGGATTTATACACAGAGGCATCGCATGCACGCTATTTTCTGGCATCGTACGCACGTTACGTGTTAGTTTCCTGTCAGCTCTGACAGTTTCAATTAATCGGATTTGCCTTTTTTCGCTGCCAACATTTTAATTCTGACCCGCCGCTAGAGTAGTGAGCTAGATTCTAGTACAGTAAATTTATTCCGTAGTCTTTGACTACTGATCCACGTTTAACTTAAATTTGACTGTTCTATTTAGTTGCATCAACATGAGCTGCGGAATCTGTATCACAGGAGAGTGCCTTATGCTCTAATTTGTGCTCTAATAAAAAGTTATTTTTAAACTTTTCAAGATTCTGTTGTTGTTTCAGACATAGCAATAATTCGCTTCACATCTTTTAAGAGTTAATGGACAAATTAACATTTCTATACCAAATAGAACTCTTCAACTCTTAATACAAATTTCACTCATAAAGCCAGTATGCTTGATGCTCCTATGTAAATGGATATATGAAAAGAAACCTTAAGACATTTACTTACTGTTCCAGAGGATTTCAATCTTCGCGTGAAGTTGGTTGTCTTAGAAAAATGGTGTTCAATACTAATGTTTTTGGAAACACTGGTCTTTTTCGGAGTTGGTTATTTATAGGTCGCTAATGAAAGCTTTCACGATGTGGTCACTTAAATTAATAATATTTATTTAATGCTAAATTAAATAATAATTTTCTAGACTTGAAAACTTGAAAATTTAATTCTAAAACATATGAATATTACAATTTATCTTTTATTTGTTAATGGCTAAAACAATTTTTGTATCCCAACGGTGCTCCATTTGCCTAATGCTAAAATTATTCTTAGAGATTTTTCCATATCGCATTAAGAAAACAAGTTGTACTGGATATTTGAACATAAGAAAATTTATTATTATGTAAGGGATATCTAAGCAGAAAAAATTATTATTACATTCAGAGACGAAAGTATCACTACTTTAATTTGGGTTACGAAAAGTATCTGTTGAAAAGCCTACAAATGATTTTTGATAAATATAGTGAGAAATTTAGTGAGAAATATATATAAATATATATATTAAGTATATATAAATCTATTGATAAAGTATATATAAATGTAGTGACTCATATAAATTTAGTGAGAAATTTTTGAAAGTAAAAGAAGTTACGTTTATATATTTAATTATATTGAAGCATGCAAGTATTATCTCTAAAAAGCCCTCTTGCTGAATACTGAATTTCATATGTGATTTTCTCTTTCCTTATTGAGTGCCTTCGTGATGTAATTGGGAAGCACGTCCGACTAGCATCGTGAGGTCCACAGTTCGAGTCCAGGGATGCCATTGTTTATTTTTTTAAGTTTCTTGCACTGAAATGAACCTAATGATTGTACAAATGTGTGGATTCTAGAAAATACAGCTCCAGTTTTAAATATAGTAAAGATTAGTGCATAAAGGCAGAAAGTTTCATAAGTTATGGTGCACACAGTGTAGAGACTAGCACGCATTTTAGAGCCAAGAAAAGTGAAATACCCATTGTGCCGTTGCCAGGATTCTAATCACGGATATTCCATTTGTTTGCTGAATGTGTTAACTACAAAAGCATGCAGTAATTCTTTACAACCGTTTGATTCTTTGCAATCAGAAGAATGTTAAAAATAACCGAAGAGATGCAAAACATGAAAACTTTTTCATTCATCTAATAAGATCATTAAAAAAAGGAATTAAGCATTAAAAAATGGTTATGCAAGCCATTATGATCTTTAAATGGAGCTGCTGTTGCCAAGTCAAAATCAAATGCTACCCATAGCTTTTTAGCGTAAGTTTTAAACACTTGACTTTGAAAGAATAGATGAATGAAAGTCTTAGAGATATTCTTATGAAAACTGAATTTTTATTATGTGTTGAAAATTACAAACTAATAAACTCGATTAAAATTATCTCGGTGACTTCATCAAAAAATATTTTATCCGAAGGCAATATTGTTTTCTGTTGAAAATTGTTTTAATACATCTCAATTTAAGTTATTTAATTCTTCATAACCCACATTGAAACTAACGCTTTGCTAGAAAATACCAAAGAAAGTTGCCACCCAATACAAGGATATATCTCTTTCAGCAGAATTAAAATTCAGAATTGTGAAATCTGATTCGTTTATTGATGTATGGAGAAATTGTTTGTTTCTCAGATTTATTTAAAGATTTTCTAATGGCATACTATAGCCCTCCTAACTGACTTTCACGAACTTAATACTACTTCTTTAAACAGAATAAACTGATATTTAATTACTAAGTAAGGAAATGAAGAAATCAAATAAGTTTAAAACAATGTAATTAGTTTTTTAATTAACTTCAAGTACATGAATATTCCGAAAGTTATAGTGAGATTGAACTATTTGCCTTCTTAGCATTAAATTTGCAATTAGAGAGAGGAACTCGCGAGTCTTCTAGTACTCAATCTAAAGTACAACTTAACGCTTTGTCCTTTTCTAATGTAGTATTCTGCAAGAGCAGACCTTAGTTTTCTTCTATAATTATAAGTTACAAATATAAATAGTTAAACTAAATGGGTAAAGAAAAAGGTTTGGTTTATTTAGTCAATTATGGCAAAGCCCGACTACAGCTATCTACTTGGTAAAGAAAAATGATCGTTGCTAAGTTTTGCTTCCCAATACTTATACGTATCATGATTTTTGTAGTATATGACCCTTAAAAGGTAAGTAAAATTAAACTTTGATTTTAAATGAAGAGTTTCAATGAATTTGAAGATACAACTTAACATGATCTTTCTTCACTGAGAATAAGTGCACATGTCTGCTAACTTAGCATTGTTTTAATATGGGAATATTGGGCAGCGTCTGACATTGACGAGGGTGGAAAAACTGAGAAAACAAAACTATAAAATAAAATATGTAAGTAGTTCGATAAAGGAAAAATAGGATTAAAATCACTAACTAAAGTTGATAGATTTTTATGAATATGTAAAAGTTATTTTTTTTAAATATGGAATTAAATAAGTACGTAAACCGCTCATTACACTTATTGTTAATAGCGCTAAAGCGTGTCGCTTTCTCAAATTTTATAAAAATGACGTCCACGTATTTGTAATTTGGAATATACTACATGTAAATTACTCTTATATTTAATCTTCAGAATACCCGAATTATTCTCTGATAATTAATCATAAAACAAATTCAAAAGAATATATTAAAAAGTTGTCGAGACATAAAATGAGCAATGCCATTGTCGGGACTCGAACCTTGACTTCCCGAATACGCATCGAGTGTGCTACCGTTACACCACGAAGGCTTGTAGAAAGGAGGGAGAAAATGCCTTATATACTCCGCCATTTAAAGGGCGACTGAGGATTAGGGGACCCAATCGCCAAATCCTGCTGATGAAGAATCATCATTCACGACCTTTTTTTAGTTCGGGCGCAACTGTACAGACATTAGGTTATTTTCGATGTCAGGACGCTGAAAAATATGCAATGCCCTGGCCGGGACTCGAACCTGGACCTCTTCGAATACTCGCCGAGTGTGCTAAAGTTACACCACAAACGTATGCAGAAAGGGAGAAAATAAAGTAATTAAAAATAATTATTCTTTGATACTTTCTTTTCAATTTTTTCGTAAAACATATTGTAGAGACATTAGGTTAATTGGAAAAGCCGGAGAGATGGAAAATTAACAACGCCTTCGCCGGGAATCGAACCACGGACCTCTGGAATACCGGCCCAGCGTGCAGTACCACTACACTACAAAGGCACGCTAGGAATGCGGGAGAAATACCTTATATGATCCCCCTTTTAAAGGGCGACTGGGGTTTTTAGGGGACCCAATCGCCAAATCCTGGGTGTGGAGAATCCTCAACCAACACCCTTTTTAGTTCGGGCGCCACTGTAGAGACATTAGGTAATTTTTTGGAAGCCGGAGAGATGAAAAATTAACAGCGCTTCGCCGGGAATCGAACCACGGACCTCTGGATACCGGCCTAGAAATGCAGAACCACTACACTACGAAGGCACGCTAGGAAGGCGGGAGAAATACCTAATAATATAATTCTTGCCATGGTTCAGCTACGACCCAGTATGGTGAGCAATCATTGCATATTCTAGTGCAAGAACTGAAGCACCATTGAAATCAGTTCAGAGAATTCCGTTTCTATTTTGCATAAATTGATGAGTTAATCTCCCTTACTAAATTTTCTCTAAATTAGCAACCTGTTTGATCACAAAAAGTATTATTATCGCCAAACGAAGCTTTAACAATGTAATACAAATTCACTCCTATTTTTCTTGAAATTTGCATGCACTAATTCGAATCTGAAACTATGATGAAAGGGAAATCAAAAATCTTTCTTTTTCACGTTTTCTAAATGATACACATTT